GACCATATGTTATAAAAGAACCTTTTTAAGAGGAGCTTGATCCTGTTAGAAATGAATAGAGATGAACTTTTCATTTTTGTTAATTCTAATGTAGTAAAAAAGTACTTTGCTTAACACACAAAAAAAAAAAAGGAAAAGAGTTCAAGTTAAAAATTTGAAAGGGCAGCTTGAATCACAAAAAAATTAAAAAAAAAAGAGAAAAGAGGTTCAAGTTAAAAACCTGAAAAGGATGACTTCAATCCAAAGGAAGAGGTTCGAGTTAAAACCTTGAAAGACAGCTTGAATGAATAGAGGATGGCATCACTTGGAAGGCATACCAGGGATAGTGAATTTCAAAGAGCTTTAAGGTATCGAGGCATCACATCTTGATTGAACTTTTTAAAGAGATCCAAGAATTGTTGTCATGGTTATCTAATCATTTGTCTTGGGCCACTGCTACCCCAAATAGCCACTCATATGCATTTTTCTTATCTCTACACCATTATTTATAATTGATTATCCAAATAAATGAAAGCTATCTTGTTATTCTCTTAGTCTTATACATTGCCCTTTCTCTTTATACCTTGCCATGAATGGAAAAAATGTACAATTTATATCCTACACTTTGAAATTGGGATAATGATTAATAATTGAACAAAATCATAAAAAGTGTGTGTTACTTTGAAGGATTAAAGGGTTTAAAGACCAAAGGTGAGCTTCTCTCAAATAAGAGCAAAATAGCTTCTATAGCCCTCTTGGGGATAAAGATAAATATTCAAGCTGATGAAAGATGGTTTCTTTGCTAAAGACATACATTCGGGATGGTTTATTCACTAAAATATGCAGTGAAGATAAATATTCAGGATAAAGAATGGTGGTTTTTTTGCTAAAGAGGTACAAAAATAAGAATGCAGAGGCCTTAGTACCATAATTGATATTTCATTTGCATTCTAAATAGGACACACACTTACATTATTCACTCACTTGATCTTGGCTCAGTTCGGATCATTTCTTATGATTCATGGTTTCATCTTGTTCATTTATTTTTAACCTCAACTCGATCCTGATCACTTTGTTTTGACTTGTGGTTTCATCCCGATTACATGATTCGTGGTTTCATCATAATAATTTATTTTTGACATCGACTCAATCCTGATCACTTTATTTTGACTCATGGTTTCATTCCACTTATTTATTTTTGACCTCAACTAGGTCTTGGTCACTTTATTTTGACTTGTGGTTTCATCCCGATCACATGATTCATGGTTTCATCTGATCATTTATTTTTTTACCTCAACTCAATCTTGGTCACTTTATTTTGACTCATGATTTCATCTCGATCACATGGTTTGTGGTTTTGTCTTGATTATTTATTTTTAACTTCGACTCAGTCCTGGTCACTTTATTTTGACTCGTGGTTTCATCCCAATCATATGATTTATGGTTTCATCTTGATCATTTATTTTTGACCTCGACTCGTGGTTTCATCCTGATCACATGATTCATGGTTTTATCCTAATGATTTATTTTAGACCTCGACTCAGTCCTAGTCACTTTATTTTGATTTGTAGTTTTGTTTCGATCACATGATTCATGGTTTTATCCCGAACATTTATTTTGGACCTCGACTCGATCCTGGTCACCTTATTTTGACTCATGGTTTCGTCTCGATTACTTGATCTTGGCTCAGCCCAGATCATTTTTTATGATTCATGGTTTTGTCTTGATCACTTATTTTTTATCTCGATTCAGTCCTAATCACTCAATCTCGACTTGTGATTTAGTCCCGGTCATTTGATCTTGGTTCAATTTAGGTCATTTGATAAATTCGAATATCGTACTTGATACGACTCGAATAAAATGAGTGTCTAGGTATTTACAACATACCTATCTAACAAGGATGTGCAAAGAGGGACAGCTATAGACACCTACTTGTGTCCAGTCCCAAGTAGGCCCATTAACATCTAGGCCTAATTGGACCCATTTGTGTTCAGGCCCAAATAGGCCCATTGACGTCTAAGCCTAACTAGGCCCATTTATGTCTAAGCTCGGTTAGACCCATTAACTTTTAGGCCCGATCAAGCCCATTGATGTCTAAGCCTGATTAGATCCATTGGCGTCTGACCCAATTAGGCCCATCCTTGCCCAAGTCCAATTAGATGGTTTTTTAAGTTGATTATATTATATGATATTATTTTTTTTATTTTTTGTTTTCCTTGTTTTGTTTTACTGCTTTCTTTTTCTTTTTCAATCCACACGTGCACAAAAAGATGAATCATGATCAAAATCCCTTGGTCAAATTCAATCAATGATTGCTAAAATTTTGGACTTGAAATCTCGTCTAAAGAGAATGCAATCCCATGATTCAAGCTTGGGATTGGTTTTGTTAGTTTCCTAAAATCATTCTTAAGGCTATCTATAAATTGGACTAATTTTTAACAGATGAGGGACACATAAAAAAAATTAGGGAAAAAAATTATTAGAGGAAAAGAAGGTCTGAAGAGTTTTGGCAAAAAGGGTTTGAGGAAGTTCAGTTCTGAGATTTTAGGTTCAATCTGAAGTTGAGGCCTTGATTTTAGGTTTTTTGGTTAGAATTAGGGGTTCTGGGAGTGATTTGAATGAAATTTGGTGAAATCTAGGAAAAATTCGAAGAAATATGGGTTTTTTTGGGTTTGAAAGAAGTTTTCGGTGAAAGTATGAATTTTTCGATCAGGTTTTGAAGTTTTCGACGAGATTCCTGTGAGATTTTCAAAATCCAACAAGTTTTTTAGAAACTGGTGTGTTTTTTAGTTTCTGGTTGAATTTTTTGATGACATTACCAAAAATCGATGAGATTACCAGTTTTCGGTTGAATTTGTTGGTGGACTTTTAGAGTGAAGTAAGAGGAATTGGATTTAGAGAGAGAGAGAGAGGCTCGGGTGATTTTAAGAAAAAACACTGAGAGGTACCATATATACTAGCCCAGCACGATGTCGTTTTGAGCCAGCCAGGATCCGCGTGCAGAATCGATAACCTGCATGTTGAGTCTCGCTCTGACTCGACCCGATCATAGATTTTTTTTTTTATATTTTATATTTTTATTTATTTTATTTTATTTTTAACCTATTTTTATTTTTTGGTTTTATTTTTAAACGAGAAAAAAGTTGTTTTTGTTACTTTTATTACAAAAAAAAGTAAAAAAAAAATGAAGTTCTAAAAAAAAAGAAAAAAATAATTCTACAAAAAATCCCTTTAATGAAAAATGATAAAATAAAAAAATAGTTTTCAAATAAATAAATAATTTTTGTCCTCTAAATTATTGGATGATTGTTTTGAAGTGAGCCTTACCAAACTATTGGGAGGCTTCACTAATTTTTTTACATAAAATAAATTAATAAATCCAACGACGGAGTTTCTTCAGAATGAGACACTAGTCTTTATGAATACTCCTAAGGTAAGAAAATAATCTTAAATTATTATCAAACTATTAGGACAATCTGAAGATATATTTTCAATATTAAATTTTTAGTAAATCATAAAAATAATCAAGACTTGGATAATTTGAAATCAAACTAATACCATCCTTAGATGGGCGTTGTAGGAGTGCTACAACATTCTTCATGCGTAATCGACTCTCGAATCTAGCATCTATTTTTGCAGATCATATTCAATCAGATGATCAATCACATCTAGACAAAAAAGATTAGTGACGGTTCCTTCTAATCCATGTCTAGTGATAGATCTATGAATTTATATGTTATGACAATAAATAATAAAAATTTATAATTTATAAAATATAACCAATTACAATCTAACATTAGACAAATATTACATTTGTTTAAAACTAATTAAAGTCCAATTCATCATATTTTAATCCAATTAAAACTCAAAAAATTGTGACCTGCTAAATCCAATAATTTATTAAAATTTTTAAGTAGCGGCAATTGAATATTTTAACCCATTAAACCACAATAAATAAAAGATAAAGGAACACATTATAAAATAACAAGAAAAAACTATAACAGTCAAAGTCCAGTGAAAAAAACAATTCTCTTTGTTTATATCTAAATTAGCAAGGAGCCAAGATCTCATCACGTGTACGGTTGTTGAAGTACTTTTTTTTTTCCCATAAAGTTATGTACGTAATACCATTAAGATATTCAAGTTATGATTTTTATGGTTTTAAAGTATGAGTTGTAATTTATAATTTTTTAAATAATTATAATTTATGATTTTTATGGTTTTAAACTATGAGTTGTAATTTTTTAATCATTAACTAATTGAAATAAAAATTGATGTGTGGATAATGACGTTTGAGACATGACGTCACTGTTTTGCATTGTAATTGAATATTAATTAGCTTTTGGATAAAAATAATAAATATTTTATGATGTAAGTTTTTGCCACATTTAAGCGATGGACGATATGACGTTGTCATGTACATATGAGTTTCAATTTCCTTACGTGCTTAATCAATTATTTAATGTTTTGGTTGATAACTTAAATATCAAGATAAGTTTAAAAAAAAATATTGTTAGATCTATAATTTAATTAAAATACGTGTATATATATATTAATTAAATTAATTAAATATTAATATAATGATATGATCCATACAGCTTAATCAAAATTTTTTTAATTAATAAATTAATGCCCTTGCAATATGATGACAATCTATATCTAATTTCCTGATTCTAAAGTGTCGAATTATACACATCAATTATAAACTCAAATTTGACTAAATGATTGTTATCCTTTTCTAGATTGGGGTCCACGGTTCTTGCTCTTCTAATTGTACTGTCCACATATACCAAAAAAATAAATAATGAAGTTGATAATGAAATGGGAAAGTTTGATGGGCTCTTAGCGACCTCGCGAATGACACATTTGGAACTACATATGAAAAAAAAAAAAAAAAAAGATATTTTATCAAAACAAGGCTGTTGGCAGATGCACTTGTCACTTATCTTTATCTCTAATTTCTATATAAACGATTCCCTCGTAGCTCTGTCGCTTCAGTAACAACTCACCACTGTCTCTCAACTCTAATGAAAGGCAAAGCTAGCCACCATTGCTGTCAAACTCTTTCCATCACTGATTCACTTTCCCAGGAAATATTTCCAAAGTTCTTCTAACAATTAAGAAATTGAGAATTTATGGAATTGATTTTGTCACATAAAATCACCATAATTTGTCTTACCCAGAATGGGAAGGATTCCATTATGCAGTGTAGATGGTTTGAAGAGAGGAGCCTGGACAGCTGAAGAAGACCAGAAGCTCATAGCTTACATACAAAAACACGGTGAAGGAGGTTGGCGTTCCCTAGCCAAGAAAGCCGGTTAGGTCTTTTCTGTTTTATTCTTCCATGACTTGATGCATCAATTGTCTTTATTTTATGCAAAATGATCATGTTTCTTTGTTGATTTTCAGGTCTTCGAAGATGTGGGAAGAGCTGTAGACTGAGATGGGTAAATTATCTGAGACTTGGTGTTAAGAGAGGAGACTTCACCTCGGAGGAAGCTCAAACCATCATTGAACTTCATGCTGCATTAGGCAACAGGTGACAGCAAAGCTTTTCTTTGACCAACACAAAATTATTACTATATTCTTGCTAAACTTAGACAAACAACAGCAAATTTAAAAGAAAATGTTTTTAAATAAATTCATTATTTTAACTTTAGTTTTCTCTAGAATATTGAATATATTTACACTTTCATACTTAAAATAATCTCCAACATTTTCTTAGAAAAATAAAAGTGAAGATACGAATGAGGAGAATCGATTGTTTTTTATAAGAGAAGACATAACTTAGGGATAAAAGAAAGGTCGTTTTTTTATAAAAAAAGGTCATAATTTACAGATAAAAAAAAGGATTTTAGATGATGAAAGGTTAATTTAAAATTATGAGTTAATTAAGTTAAGTTTTGGGTTTTAGATTGCTAAATATGATGAGATGCAAAATTTTGTCCTTCAAGCAAGAAAGAAGAATGAGATCCTTCGAATCAGCTCTGCCCTCTTTGTCCTTTTAAGAGATTAATTATGTTTTTTTTTAAGTGTTTGGTTTTATGGGTTGTTGTCATGATCAATCTCACCTATATTAGTTTATTTTTCTCCTCAGGTGGGCAGTCAATAGCCAGGCACTTAACCAAAGGGGACAGACATGAGATTAAGAACCTATTGGAACGCTCATCTCAAGAAACGCTTAGTTAATTTGGGTATACGGTAACTCACATGCCTATTGGCATCGCTCCTGGCGCCTCATCCAGTGAAAATTCCAACACTACTGTGGTCAACACCGACTCAATGATCATTCTTGAAGAAAATGCAACATCCAAAGAATCTGAACCCACACTGCAACAGCCAACATCATCAAGGTCTGCCTCAGCTTCAAGCTCTTGCTGCTCCATAAGTAGCCACTAGGGTCACGACCATTGCATGTGTCGGATTTGATCCCATAAAAAGCTTAGTCAAAGATTGCAACCATGTCATTTAACGTACTACTAGCGATGGTGGTGCCAATAGTAAAAGTTTTACTGCTACAATTATCACCCTAAACATCAAGTGTCAGGGAATAATGCATCAATAGCAAAGACACGTCCAGATTGTTGGCTGGATAATATTTCTGATCCACTCACACACCTTTAATTGCTTAGATTTGTCGAATATAGTACCTTTCTCCGGGTTCATGCAGATCATGAAAACGCCGGTGATGACGGTGGAGTTAGTTTTGATGCAAACATCGAGTATCCTGATCTATCTGATGCATTGAGCTTCCTAGAGGGTAATGCATCTGAACCTGCAAGATCTTGTTCGAGTACGTCTTCTCGAGTTTTAGACAACATGGCTTCCAAATTCGCTTCATTGCGCTGCATTGATGAATTTCACGATTGGCAAAACCGCAACAACATTCCACCAGGACAAATCCAAGGTGATCATAGTGTTACTACAAAAACTACAGATGATGGTGGACTTTCAACCGGCGAATAGAGCCATCAAACCTTTTTGATATTCCTCTAGAGCCATCAAGCCTCAAATATTGATGAATATGCATAAGAGGCATCATGAGTATCATTATCTAAATCATGTATGTAAGAATGTTGCATATTTGAGCATGACAAAGTTCCCCGAAAAACATTTATCTGAAAAGATTGTGAGATCAAACATTGCAACAAAGAATTTTGATTTGATTAATGATGAACGGACTCATACATCTGATTGGTCAATTTTTTCCCTTTCTTGTTACTTTAGGAGTCATTTCTTTTTAGCTAGAAGTAGATTGAGTCATGAAATACGTTACAGATTTTGAACCCTAACAAGTTTGAAGGTCACAAGTCCTTGATTTATTTTAATATAAAATAGCGAATTTAATTTGTTCAAACACTAATAATTAAATGTGGTTAAATATATTACTTTAAATTAGATAGGTTTATATTTCATATATTGTTAATATATAACTTTTATATATTGTCAATAAATCAGATGATACCATCTCATAAGTGAGGTAAATCAGATGATATCTCCTTATTTATTAGTAAATTTAAAAAAAAATATTTTTTTATATATTTATTTTAAGAGCTGATATTTACTTATTAATGAAGAAATATCATTTGATTTACTGATAATATGTAAAGTCTATATATTAATAATTGATTAAATATAAACTATAATTAAGTCCAATTAAAAGAAGGTTTTAGAAAGTGTCAACATTCCTAATTAGGCACAAATAAAACAAAGAAAATATTAACTATTGCCTAGTGATATTGGTTTAGATAATAGGGTAAAATATACAAATAGACACTCAAATTTTGGGGTCTTTTTAAATTGTTCACTTAAATATTAAAATTTTAATTTAATCACTTAAATTTGAATAAGTATTTTTTATCACTAAACCATTAGTGTCTAATGACATGTTGATTGGCATTACTGCATTAGTTGTTAGCTGCCACATGGCACCATCTCATCATCTGACAAGCCATGTGGCAATATAAACTTTTAGAAAAAGTTTCATCACTTTACTTTTAAAATTTTTTATTTTAATCACTCAATTTTATATATTTAAAATTTGATTACTAACAAATAAATCCTCAATTTTTATTACAGACACCCTAATCTGTCTGGGAGTTTACATTTGATTTTTGTTAATAAAAAATTAAAAAAATTAAAAAATGAAAAAAAGCTGAAAAAAAAGAAAGTTGAATTTAGGTTGGAATTGGGTTGTAGGGTTTGAGTTGGGGTTAAGGGTGAAGTTTAATAGAAATTGGAATTTTTATTCTGAAGGGGATTTTTTGCCTTTCAATCTTATAAATAAAGACCCGAAGTGAGGCCAAAGAATACATAAAAACACAAAAAGCAAACAAAGAGAAAACATAAGCAAAAATAGTGTTTTAAAAAGTATGGGTAGTTCTAGAATTTTTAGGAAATTTTTTCAAAATTTTTTGGCATTTTTTCTGAGAAATTTCTTAAAAAATTCCAGATTTCGAGCAATTTTTCGATGAGATTTGAATTTTTCAACGATTTTCTAACAAAATCCAAAGTTTTCAACGAAGCTTTCAGTTTGCGACTTCCATTTTCCAAAAACCGATGAACTTTCGACCAGATTCGGTGACCCTACCCAGATTTCGAAGAAAATTCCAAAATTCAGCAAAGGATTTAATCGGTGTTCTTGAATTCTAGAAAAAGAGATAGAGAAAAGAAGGGGAAGAGAAAGAAGGGGAAAGAGAAATCTGGTGAAAAAAGATCAAATTCAGTCTTCTATACTATCGTAAAACGACATCGTTTTGGGCATTAAAAGACCTGTAGGATCTGTGCGTTTCTATTTGGTCCAACCCGACCCAAGCGCAACCCACTTTTAGTCGACCCACGTTCTAGCCAAACCTTCAGTTGAGCTGAGCAAAGCAAAGCCAAACCGCCTAAGCTACGCCTTCTAGCTGCTTTTGTGCATCAAGCCGAGCTGTTTTAACTGCTGAGCCAGCTGCGTCAAGATTTTTTTTTTCATTTATTTATTATTATTTTTTTGCTTATTTATTTATTGATTAAATTGGAATTATTTATTTAAGTAAGCATTCCTTCATTTTTCAATGATTTTCTTAAAATAAAATTTTCAAAAAAAATATTTTTGAGGAAAAGTTGAAAGTATCAATTTTTCTTGAAAATAAAATTTTCAAAAAAAAAATATTTTTAAGAAAAAGTTGAAAGTATCAATTTTTCTTGAAAATTATCAAAAAAACATTTCTAAGGAAAAGTTGAAAGTACCAATTTTGCTTGTATAAAAGCATAAATTTTTTTTCTTAAAAAATAAAAAAAGAGATCTATATCAAAAATCAAATCATCATTTCTTTTTCTTTTTGTCCTTTTTTTTTGTTAAATAATCCGATGATGGAGCCTCTGCAAGTGAAACAATAATTTTCTTGTATACTCTTAAGGTGAGAAAATTTTTTAATTCTTTGTCAAAAGTATTGGAGTCAATTAAGAATAATTTTCAATAATTAATTACTTGGTATAGTTTTTAAGGCTAATAGATAACATGAAATTGAGTTGGTACTATCTTTCGATGGGCGATGGGAGGGTGCTATAACCTTTTTCACATATAACCATACTCTCGAACCTAATTTTGATTTTACAGATATTGAATCTACCTTTTAAAGATATCTAAGCCAAACTTAAGATTTCTCTTTAAAAAGGGACAGATTCGGTTAGGTGGTTAATTGCACCTAAACAAAAAAATTTGGTGACAACTCCTTAAGAGAATGTCTAGCGATAGATCTTCGAATCTAGACTTATGATAGCTTGGTAACTCCACTCGGGACAACCGAGAGTCAGGCTAGCAAATAAATTCATGTTATCCAAAAGCCTAATAAAATTAAACTTTTTGTATGGATTTTTTATTCATTTATTCTATTTATTTACTTTGTTAACTCTATCATTCATATGAATGTGCATAACATGAGCTTTATACTTGAGCTCTGTCCCTCTAAAAGGGAGTAAAGTACCCATGCTTTCGTGTGGTTTTAATGTCTCTGCAGTGGCTAGCGAAATATCCCCACTCAAATTGAATATTTTTCGCTTGCAGACTATAATAGGTGAGGAATAAGGTGCCTTACGAGTCTGTGATGGACAATGATTTAAGGAGCAATTCGGGAACCTTTAGACTTTCAACCTTTAAAACCACATATAGTGAACCTTAGAAGCGCCTAACCTATAGATAGAGCCATCTCTTTCCCTTTAGAATTGACCAAAAATATAAGATTTATTCCTTTTATTATGTGTGATGTTTTACTTTATTTAGTTATTTCTTTTTATTTGGTATACTAACCTCTTCTCTTATTCATTTTTGCATTGATTCATGCTCATATCATAAAGTTGCATAAAGAACATTTGCTTGAAAGACGATCTTCAACAAAGAGTTTTTCATGGATTCCACAGAACGACTAGTTTGCTCTTCATCTGTATTAGCTTTTTGTGAGTCACCCAACGAAGTAAAGGTTCAGTTAGAAAGGATTTAGCAAAAGGAAGAGGATTGTCTACCAATCGACTATGCTTTCACCTTGTCTCAAGAAACATCCAT